AGAGTTGCTGTAGGTTTTCACCCGATGCCCATATGGTAGTGTCATCAGCAAATAAAACCACTTTCACTAAATCAGAAACCTTGCATATATCGTTAATGTATAATATAAATAATTTAGGTCCCAAAACAGAACCCTGAGGCACTCCACATACAATGTCCAGCTCACTCGATTGGTATTCACCCAACTTCACAAATTGACGCCTCTGTGCCAAATAACTTCTAATCCATTTCAGAGCCATTCCTCTGATCCCATATACAGAAGTAAAACTGCTCTTTCTGATAAGCTGAGCGTGTGTTCTCATGCGCCTACAGTGCTGAACCAGCTGGAGGAACTTCTGAGTGACATGAAAGCAGATGTGACACGACTGCCCAACATGCTGTCTAGGATCCCGCCGGTGTCGGCCCGCTTGCAGATGTCTGAGCGGAGCATCCTGAGCCGACTCACCAGCCGAGGCAACGAACCTCCGCAGCAGCAGGTGAGATACTGTAAGCACAGGTGGACAAGTCAGTTGGCTTTCTGAAACTCTATAACAAGTAATTATTCCTTGGTATCATATCAAATACAAGCTAGTCTTTTGTCTGATTTATGTAATAATAACAAGAAAGTTACCTGAACTTATTTGCTTTAAAACAGCCAGTTTTACCACTACAAGATGGCAATTTGTTAGACATGGCTGGTGATCACTATGCAGTGGACGCTGGGGATTCATAAGGGTGAAGAAACAAGACTCACTGAAATGTGAGAGAGGGCTGAGTAAATAAAAAAAAAAATATATGTTTATGGCCAAAAACATTAAGTATTCTGTAGTCATGACTCAGCAGCCACATTATTCCTGCAAAACCCTGTGGAGACTCATGTGCTTCCCCAAGTGTAATGAGGAAAAAGTAGTTGTTTACTTTCACCACTGAGCTCCATGTTTCACTCCCAAAGGATTTCACAAAGACTGCGTTGTCTCATTAAATTCAAGTGTCGTGCGTCTGTTCACCAGAGTTGAATGTGTGTGTTTTATTTTCTGTTATACGAGAGATTGTTTCAGCTCAGCGGTGTGATTGGTCATGCACTGTAAGGTGTTTTTGTTTTTTATTTTTGGGTTGCTATGCCAGCTTCTGTTGTAACCAGGGAAAG